ACTTCCGGTTGAATTGGTAGGATAAGCTCCTAAAACTTCAGGGGACTTGAGCTTCAGGTGAAGTAGTGATCATCAGCAAACGGGGGGGGGGGGCGCCTCGTATAGATGCTGCAAAGGCTGTAGAACCAGACATCACTGGCAAACACAGGTGCCCTTTGTCCTACCTCTCTCTCCCTCTCTTTCTTCTTCTCTCTCTCTCCCTCCCCCCCTCCATTCAGTTTACTTCCAGATTCAAATGTGTGAATTTATCTGGCTAGAAATATCCAAATCAAGCTGGTGCTTGAAAGGAGTGGCGTGGGCTCACGAGGAAACGTATAGACAAAATAAAGAGGAGATTTAGGGGAGATGCAGTCAAGAATTCAATGCAAAATTAAGAAGAGTGAGGAGAAGGGTCGGAGGGGAGGGGAGGGTAAGAATGTTGAAAGGAGTGGCATCGATCAAGATGCCTCGTATTCATCAACTGCTTCGTTAAATGGCAACTCCTTTGTACAACTACGGAAAGATAATGCACCCAACAAAATCAAATTTTAAAAAGAGACACATCCAAATCACACCTAGCATCAGGGTTGTGCCTGTAACCTGTTGTTATCTCTCATTTCCCTGAAAATCCGTCTCTAGGTTGGATGGACCCGATTCAAAGCGGGTGGGCTTTGCAGTGAGTTTGGTGTTAAGAATTGCCAGTAGAGGGCGATAAAGGGCTGTTGCAGCAGGACCTGTCTTCTCTCCCTCATTTTGTGGTGCTGGCTTTTTCCTCTGTCCTGCTGGGGGGTGAGTTAGACGCTGAGAATATGAGCGTAGAGAGGCGCTCTGCCTCAGCCTGGCACGCCCAGGGGCACAGCCTTCCGGTGACCTTGCCGCCCCGCTGTGGTGTGCCCACCACCTGCCAGGGATCATGGACAGGACACTGTGTATCCAGGCTCAGCAACCAGGGCAGCGCCCCAGTGCCCACTGTGCAGCTGTTTCATGCTGGACAGTGCCTAGCGGGAAACACGACAGGTTTTTAAAATAAGATTTATATATTTTTTTAATGTGGCCAGGCGTTGGTGGCACAAGCCTGTAATCCTAGCTACTCAAGAGGCTGAGATCCTCATGAGGATCACAGTTCAAAGCCAGCCCGGGCAAGAAAGCCCATGAGATTCTTATCTCCAATTAACCACCAGAAAACTGGAAGTGGCGCTGTGGTGGTAGAACACTCACCCTGAGCTGAAGAGCTGAGGGACAGGGCCCAGAGTTCAAGCCCATGACCTACAAAACAACAATAACAACAAATGTGTAAAGCCATGGGTTCAAGTGTTAGCCATGCCCAAAACAAAAGGAATGGAAAGGGGGAGGGAGGGAGGGAGGGGGGGATGAGGAAAGTACATGGTGAAAGTGAATTATATATAATGTACATATACACAATAGATAGTGTGTAATGTCATCATATCAATACATTATATGTATATGGCTATATAATGTATATTATATTTTATGTGAACGCAATCGTGTGTATGTATGCATGCATACTCACACACATCTACGTGCACACACAGAGCTAGACAGTATAATGAGCCCCCCTAAATACTGCTGTAAAAAAGGGGTAGGGAAGCTGGGCGTTGGTGGCTCACACCTGTAATCCTAGCTACTTAGGAGGCTGAGATCTGAGGATCACGGTTCAAAGCCAGCCTGGACAGGAAAGTCCGTGAGACTCTTATCTCCAATAAACCACCAGAAAACCAGAAGTGGTGCTGTGGCTCAAGTGGTAGAATGCTAGCCTTGAGCTGAAGAGTTGAGGGACAGCGCCCAGGCCCAGAGATCAAGCTCCACCACCGACAAAAAAAAAAAAAAAAGGAGGGATGGAGAGAGAGAGATAAGCATATAATGGGGTGATTTTGATATAAAAATATACACATGTATGAAAATATCACAGCAAAACCCGTTGCATAATTAATTTACACTAATAAAATGTCACATGCCATAAAAAATAAAAACAAAAGCCAACAAAAACTGGGAGAGAAAAAAACCACTTAGCCAAGTCCTATATTTGAGAAACTAGTTCAAGACCAGCAGGACAGGCTAAAAATAAGAGGAGTGGAAATTACAATAATAAAGAAGCAACAAAAATAGAAAACCCCAGGATAATAGGATGAGCCAAAAAGGAATCCAGTTCTTTGAAAAGATTGTGTAGGAAAAAAAAAAAAAAAACCAGAGATGACAGCTGGATGTCTGTGGCTCATCCCTGTAACACTAGTTATTTAGGAGGCTGAAATCTGAGGATCAGGGTTCAAAGCCAGCGTGGACAGGGAAGTCCATGAGCCTCTTATCTCCAATTAACCACCAAAAAGCTGGAGTTGGAGTTGTGGCTCAAGTGATAGAGTACTAGGCATGAGCTAAAAGCTCAGGGACAGCACCCAATGCCTGAGTTAAAGCCCCAGAATCAGCACCAACACAACAAAACAACAACAAAAGCCCAGAGAGGATGCATTGAAGTAATGCTAACATAGAACAAAGGTTAAGATGGTAAATGCTTTTGTTGTGGTGACCATTGTTATTTGTGTGAACTAGGATCTTTGTAGCCCATGGTTTTTTTTTTTTTTGTCGGTCGTGGGGCTTGAACTCTGGGCCTGGGCGTTGTCCCTCAGCTCTTCAACTCAAGGCGAGCGCTCTACCACTTGAGCTACAGCGCCACTTCCGCCCATGTTGTTTTAAAATTCGCTATCCTTCTCCTTCCCATCTCCCGAGTGTTGGGATTACAGGCATGCACCACACCTGCTACAACAGACAAAACTTTGCATGAGTACAATTTCCCATACAAAAGTGATGTATCCTTGGGCTGGGAATATGGCTTAGTGGTAGAATGCCTGCCTAGCATGCATGAAGGAAGGTCTCTGTCCGATTCCTCAGTATCACAGAAACAGAAAAAGCCAGAATTGGCACTGTGGCTCAAGTGGTAGAGTGCTGGCCTTGAGCAAAAAGCAGCTCAGGGACAATGCCCTGGAAGTTCAAGCCCTAGGACTTGCAAAAACAAAAACAAACAAAAAAAGTGATTTAGCCCAGCCCAATTTTCCAAGTGAGTACTACCTCAAAACTTAATTTTTTATTCTTCATAACATCTTAGTTTCTCTGAAGAATGTTGCAATTCAATTTATGAAAACAATAAGATTGGGCTGGGAAGGTGGCTCAGTGGTAGAGCGCTTGCCTTGCATGCCTGAGGCCCTGGGTTCGATTCCTCAGCACCACATAAGCAGAAAAAATAAAAAAGCTGGAAGTGGCACTGTGGCTCAAGTGGTAGAGTGCTAGCCTTGAGCTGAAGAGCTGAGGGACAGCACCCAGGTGTAGAGTTCAGGCCCCACGACTGGACACCCCCCCCAAAAAAAAGAAAAAAGAAAACCATAAGATAGGCCAGCCCTATCAATTTTCTTTTCCTTTCTTTTTCTTCCCTTTGGTTGGCCGTGGGGCTTGAACTCTGGGCCTGGGCGCTGAACCCTGAGCTATTCAGTCCAATGAGAGTGCTTGACCACTTGAGCCACAGCGCCACTTCTGGTTTTCTGGTGGTTTATTGGAGATCAGAGTCTCACAGACTTTCCTGCCTGGGCTGGCTGTGAACTGTGATCCTCAGATCTCAGCCTCCTGAGTAGCTAGGATTACAGGCGTGAGCCACCAGGGCCCAGTTCTATCAATTTTCTTATTAGCTCAAGGTAAGGAAGGCTTCCTGACTTCTGCACACAAAATATGTTCAGGTCAAAGGCAGAAGGTTCCTTTTTTAGGGCAGGATTATTTTCTTTGGTTGATCTTTCTCTGTGTGTGTCTCTGTGTCCTTGTGTCTGTCTCCATACCTGTCTCTCTGTCTCTCTCTGTACCGTACCTAAAAAAAAATGTACTCACTGCTTCCTGATTTTTGAGTGAATTGAGAAAGCTGCCACAGGTTGCAGAAAGATGCCAATCAGCTTCATTTCTGGAGGGCTGGCTCACATCTTTGGATAGGTTGAAAGCCAGTTTTTCATCCCTGAGTCAGACAATTTCTTTCTAGGTCTAGCCCAGGGGTAGAGACTCTCATGGCTTGGCCAAATGGCTCAGATATCTGCTGCAAATAAAACTACTAAGGCATCCTGTGAGCATGGATTTCAGGTAAATTACAACTACTTTCTTAGCATAAGTGTGTTCCTAATATTGCATGGGAAATACTTATGCTCAAAGTGTGCACTATTTTTCTGAAATTCAAATTGAACTGGTTATTCTGACTTTCCTGCCTGGGCTGGCTTCAAATCGTGATCCTCAGGTCTCAGCTCCCGAGTAGCTAGAATTCTAGAGCCCCTGGCACTTGGTAATTAGTTAATTTCTCAGTACTCTACACCAAGCACCCTACCAGATACCAGACACTGAGTCAGTCAGACCTTTGGAAAGAAAAGAAGCTTGGGGCTGGGAAGGTGGCTCAGTGGTAGAGCGCTTGCCTTGCATGCTTGAGGCCCTGGGTTCGATTCCTCAGCACCACATAAGCAAAAAGGAAAAAGCTGGAAGTGGCACGGTGGCTCAAGTGGTTGAGCTGAAGAGCTGACGGACAATGCCCAGGCCCAGAGTTCAGGCCCCATGACAGGAACCAAAAAAAAAAAAAAGAAAGAAATGAAGCTTGGTTGTGTCATATGAGGCAAATACGATTGAGAGGTCTAGGAGAAAGGGAAGTTCTACAGAGCTTAGTGTAAAACACAATTTCTCAGTTAGTGAAAGAAAAAGGGTTGTTTTTTTTTTTGTTTGGGTTTTTTTTAACTGTATTTTTTTGTCTTTTCTTTTTTGGTACTGGGGATCGAACCCAGGACGCTGCACTTGCTAGGCAAGCGCTTTGCCACTGAGCTACATCCCAGCCCGTGTGCCACTCTATGCACAGAAATATTGAGGGTATCTCAGTGGGACTGCCTAGCTACAGGGGCGGGTCCTCTCTGGGTATTCTGTCCAATCCGGTGCCTGGGTCCTAGCCCGGTCTTTCTACCACTCTTTCCCCCGCCCTCCCTTCCCCGGCCAGCCTACTACGCATGCGTGTACGCTAAGGTCCGCGCCTGTCCTTGCCCCGCCGCCCTGCAGGTGGCGCTGGCGACCACGCCGCCGCCGCCGCCGTTCTCCCGGTTGCGGCTCAGCTCCGAGTCCATGCTGAAGCTGGACTCGGGGCGGCTCTCGTTCTCCAGCAGCAGCTCCTCCTCCTCCTCGTCCTCCTCCTCGTCCTCCTCCTCGGGCTCGGCGCCCAGCGACGGGTCGCTCTCGTGCGGGTGGTGGTGGTGGTGGCGGAAGTCGCCGTCGGCCGCCTTGAGGCCCTCGGCCGCCAGCTCGCTGGTGCCCGGCTCCGGGGAGCTGGCGGCCGACAGCCCGTCGTCCGAGCGGCCGGCCAGCGAGCCGGCCTTGTGCATGTGCGTCTTCATGTGGCGCTTGAGCTTGCTGGCCTGCGAGCACGCGTGGTCGCACAGCTGGCACTTGTAGGGCTTCTCGCCCGTGTGGCTGCGCCGGTGCACGATGAGGTTGCTCTGGAACTTGAACGTCTTGCCGCAGAACTCGCACGACTTGCTCTTGGCGGGCGGCTGCGGCGGCGGCGTGCCGGCGCCCGGGGGCATGGCGGGCAGCGGCGGCGTGCTCAGGAACGGGGACTTGGGGCTGGGCTGGAAGGGGTTCAGGAGCCGGTGCATAGGGTTGCCGCGGCCCGGCGACACGGGCGGCGGCGTGGAGCTGTTGCCGGCCAGCTCGCGGAGCCGCCTGGAGAAGTCCATGGCCGGCGAGTCCATGGCCATGGGGTTGAGGCGCATGACTCGGTCGAAGGCACTGGGGTGCTGGGCGACGAGCCCCATCTCCTCGGCGCTCAGGCGGTGCGGGTCCAGGTGGTGGCGCGGCGGCGGGCTGAAGAGGGGCGGCGTGCCGGGCAGGCGGCCCTCCCCGAAGCCCGGGTGCTCCCGCAGGATGGGGCCCGTCATGCGCAGCAGGTTGAAGGGGTTGCTGTCGCCCAGGAAATTCATGAGCGGGGACTGGGCCACGGCCTCGGGCCCCAGGGGCGGCGGGATGGTGAGTCGTGGCGTGAGCGAGCTGCTGGCTGGCCCCGGCTCCAGGTAGATGCGGAAGCCGTGCGTGTTCTGCGCGTGCTGCAGCAGGAACCACGCGCTGTTGAAGGGCTGCTTGCAGGTTGTGCAAATGTAGCTGGAAGGCTCATCTTTACCTGGGGAGACACAGGGACAGAAAGGCAGACGGCCGTGTGAGAAGGGGTAGGACAATTGGGTGGGGGGGCGCGGAAAGAGAGGGCACCGGCTGGGTCACATGGGGCCCCTGGGGGCCTGGCTTCACCCCCCACCCCCCTAAAGGTGTTCTGGTCCTCCTTGTCTCCGAGGAACAGGAGGTTCAGTGGCTGAGAATACCTGACCTGACCAACCCCTCTCCCCGCACACGCACACACCTAGTACCAGGAGTTATTAAAAGTAGAGACTCCATAAAACATAATCAGAGCAAACTTCATCCACATAGGGCGCCTTTCACACTCTAGCAGGCCCAGACCGGGTTCCTCAAACAAGGCACTGTTGCTGTTTAAACTTCCCATCATATGTGCTGGTGTGTGGATGGCTGTCCCCGG